AGCCATCACCCCCCCAGCCATCACCACCTGCCAGCCACCAGCCCCCTAGCCATCACCACCCCAGCCACCAACCCCCTAGCCATCATCCCCTCAGTCATCCCAACCCCCATGTCTGTTCTCCACCCTTTCAGCAAGTCATCTGACTCCCAGACCCTGTGCTGAGCATGTAGACAATGTGGGTGAGCAAGAGAGACAGACATTCCAGCAGGGGGGCCCCAACAACAGACGGGCAGACCCTGGGTGGTGATAAGTCACACCGGAAGTAAGCAAGAGTGGAAGGGCCCCTGCTGCTCAGCAGGCTGGGAGAGGAGGAGCCACTGCGGGATGGAGGCGCTAAGCGGAGAGTGAGAAGGAGGTGGGCACACCCCGGAACACAGGGGCTGCAGGGCCCCGAAGAATGGGGATGCAAAGGGAGGCGGGAGATGGGGCAGGAGCAGCCGTGGGACAGCTGCAGCACCATCCTGCCTTCTACCAAGGGGAGCGATTTTTCCAGCCCTGCCGTTGCCTCTATGGCACTGCCGAGTCCTGCCAGCACCTGCTGTGCAGACCCAGGCAGGTGCGTCGGAGGTCACTCACCCTTTGAACAGGAAGAGGTTGAGGAGGTTGAAGTTCTTGGTCAGGAAATTGCCCAGGATCCGGTTCGGGTAGCCGCATTTGATCTGGTAGGCAGACAGGCCAAAGTAGACGCATTTCACCAGGTACCAGGCCTGCGCCACGGAGTTGAGATGGAACCTCCTGCAATGCCAGGAAAGCTGACCCTCAGGCCTCTGTGGGCCCGCCCTCCCCCAGGACCTAGGGGTCTAAGCTCAGCTGTCTTCCTCACCTCGGGGCACAGGCAGCTCACCGGGCTCAGAATAACTGTCACTGGGGAAAGGCAGGAGAAGATAAACCGCCTCTACCAAACGATTTGATTTGGAGGTGGCCTCTGGGGACCCCAACTGCCTCGGCTTCCCTGGGAGAGGTGAGTTTGTAGCCTCCCTCCTCCTGCATGACAAAGGAGCCCAGCGCAGGCAGCTGCCGCCCCCTAAACCTCAGCCCTCCCAGCCTGCCTGCAGCTGCTGATTTATCATTAAGAGAATCCTTAACTCAACCACAGAGGCCCTTCCAGCAGCAGCTCCGCCTGAGGAGTTCAGGGGAGGCCCTGGGCACCTGCCTGGGTGGCTCCATGTCCCCACTGCTCTCACTCTGGGCCTGGGGCCCCACGCATGGGCAGCAGGTTGAGGCCACCTTGTACTGCACTGAGTCTCGGTGGGGACCTGGGCACCTCTGTCCTCCTGGTGGGCCTGGCCTCCTGCCTTTGAGTGAGGAGGAAGCAAAGTTGCTGCTGTCCCCTGCAGGGGGTCCCGGGAGCCGCCAGGGGACATTGTTGAGGCCTATAATACACCTCCTCCGCTAGAGGACGTTGTTGAGGCCTGATAATACACCTCCTCTAGGGGACGCTGTTGATACAACACGCCCAGGCCAGGGGACGCTGTCGGTACAATACGCCCAGGCCAGGGGACGCTGTCGATACAACACGCCCAGGCCAGGGGATGCTGTCGGTACAATACGCCCAGGCCAGGGGACGCTGTCGATACAACACGCCCAGGCCAGGGGACGCTGTCGGTACAATACGCCCAGGCCAGGGGACGCTGTCGATACAACACGCCCAGGCCAGGGGACGCTGTCGGTACAATACGCCCAGGCCAGGGGACGCTGTCGATACAACACGCCCAGGCCAGGGGACGCTGTCGGTACAATACGCCCAGGCCAGGGGACGCTGTCGATACAACACGCCCAGGCCAGGGGACGCTGTCAGTACAACACGCCCAGGCCAGGGGACGCTGTCGGTACAATACGCCCAGGACAGGGGACGCTGTCGGTACAATACGCCCAGGACAGGGGACGCTGTCGGTACAATACGCCCAGGCCAGGGGATGCTGTCGGTACAATACGCCCAGGCCAGGGGATGCTGTCGATACAACACGCCCAGGCCAGGGGACGCTGGCCGGAGCAGCAGCCC